AACTAATGATATAAATTTGTTAAGGTTACAAAATGTGAGTTTAGTAGACACAAATCTTTTTTTTCCTAATACATGAACTAGGTCAATGACACTTCAAATGAGCAGGAGAGAGAGGCAGCTTCCTGGTTAAGACAACCATCATATTTTTAGTCTGATCAGAAGGGGAAAACACACAAAAATCCCATGATCTTTGCCCTCAGACCATTATCATCTTGTAACTTTTCCAAGTTTGTGGAAGACGGGATATCAAAAGAAGTAATAACAAATTAGGGACAGGAGAATTGCATTGTAAAGAGGTCTGCTCCGTGCGGGGCGGAAGGGCATTGTGTAATCACGGAGGGGGGGGGGGGATGCTCCAAATTGGCAGCACCTGTTTGTTGGACATGCCTCCGTGTCAACCAAAGCCATGGAAGAAATGAAATCATCAGAAGTAAAATTTAACCTGATTTCATCATTTCCGTCATATTTATCAATTTCTTCATAGGTTTTTGAAGTATGTGACAGAAATTCATGCATCACGGCGAAGAACATAGTCTTCACAAACAGACCCTTCTTTGCGCTCACACACAATTCAATAAAGAAATCAGCACAGCTTTACTTTGTCAGTCTTTGGCTGTGTCATGAACAACTCAAATACAAGACTTATGGTCCGAGGTCTCTTCATAGTCTTACAGTTCAGACCTTATTCAACTTTCTTTGTTTTTAAGACTGACAAGGGTTTGTACTTTCAAACTAGGATGGAAATTGGAGGAGAGCGTTGACATGGAAGATGACAGGATAAAAGAACGATGAGAAGAGACACCTTATTTCCATGTTTGATTAGACTAGTTACGGTTTCCTGTTTCTATGGTCTAGACACTCAGGTATTCATGGATGTGACGAGACAATACCTAGGAAGACAATCCATCTAAAATCAGATCTTCAAATACCTCCACTCATGATCTTTGACTGAGTCGAGTGTCAAGAAGGATGATGTAGATAAACAAACAACAACAATTTTTTTTTAGTTTAGGATAAAAATGTTTTCATGAAATGAAAACAAAATATTTGCAGGATGACACCTCTCAAGTGATGTTACTTATTTCTATTAAAAACAATGGCTTAATAGTTTCTATTGAATTTGTCATCATAAAATGTTTTTGAGTATTTGAACATTTGAAAAAGAAGTCATTTGATTTCCTGGCAACAGTTATAATATGTACCAAATATTTTCATAATCTAATTACATTAATAATCACACCTGTGTCGATATCATAATTATATTTTTACATCATTTTGCTTATTAATCAAATCTCAATTGGGCATATTGCAGTAATAAAGATGTTTCAAAACTTAATTGAAGAAAGCAAGCAAAATAATAATCACCTCCTAACTTTGTCAAATAATTAATATTGAAAACTAATTTAATTTACTTGATATTTCAACAATTCCTTTGAAATTTTTTGGAATATTGAGGCTAAGGTAAAATGTGATGATAAAATCACTGTTATCAAGTATATTTTTCTCAGGCTGGATTACATGTCAGGCACGCAGCCAACAAAGTCAATGACATGTGCCACCTCATGCTAATACTGCAGTTCAAAATGTTCCTTGGTAAATTGCACAGATAGCTGCCGTACGTTGAACATGCTTGCTTGCTTTGCAGCGAAACTTGGCAGCGTCAAGCAGAGGGATAGACATGGTGTCTGCTCTGCCCCACCCTCTCCTACAGGCCCACCCAACCCTATGAAAAACATTGTATATACAAGGGGTGTTTCCCATTATCATGATATTGAGAGACTTTGTCTTGTTTTTTAGTATGAGAATTATGCATCGGACAATACCAGGAGATATATACAATAAGGATATTGTAGAGTATATGTAATTTGCCAAACTCTAGATCTTCTGCTTATCTTCTATTGTGTAAAATGCAGAACATATATCAAGCACTCCCCTAACCATAATTCCCTGCTGAAGAAATTTATGTTAACATTCAATGAAAGCATGTACTTGGACCAACAATTGCCTCTAAACTGCAGCAACTGTGTCATCAGGAACAGCCACTCTAAGAACGTTTCTCAATCTGATATTTTGGTATAGTGTAACACAAGTTACTTGGAGCTTTGCCCAATCAGAGCTTATTGGTTAATCATAGGTAAACTTTGACTAATGAATAAACCCCTGCTGGTGTTGTTCAAGGGAGGTGAAAGCGCAGTCTATGTCTATGACCATAATTGGCTACAATCATAGTATACCAAGTGGAAGTAAGCTTTATACTTAAGTACGAAATATCCTTGAAACTTCGGTACTCTAAAGATTTGTTTTTAACATGATGGCAAATACTTAAGAAAAATCAATTCCTAAAAGAGTAATTTCACTACCCTTTTGTTTAACCATAAAAACCATGTGTGGTTTCCATAATGCATAATTGTGAAGTTTACACTTAGTAATGGATGATTTTTTAAAGTGCTTTTTTAAGAAGATTTAACCTAAAATGTATGTCGCTATCTGATGAAAGGTTTTGAAAGGTACTAAAATGGTACAAGGGCTTTGAACAATGATATCCATTTTAACAGAAAGTCAAAACTTTTAAATCCAAGCGTGCAACTTTAAGATCGGACCTTCCCACTTTGTGCCAAAGAAAGGCTAATAAAACAGCCTAAAATTGAAGGAAAAGTACAAAGAAAATTACCCATGAAATCTTGCCCAATTCAGATTAAATTTACAATGGAATTGACACCAGAGGCTGGCAGTCGTCAGGCCAGGGCTGACCAATATCAACTATTGCCAAATTGGCAACAAGACTATTTCAACCAATCAGCTACAGCCATGCAGCCACCTGCTTTGATCAATAGGAAAACCGCAAGCTTTATGAGGAAGTCATATTGGTTTCACCTGCATTGAACTGTTCTCCTGCTGGCCAACACTCTCTAGGTGGATGTTGGAGAGAAAAATATGAAAATCCCTATACGCCTAAACTGTCTGTTCAGAGCCAGAAGGATGTTAACTCTTTGTTAAAGTATATGAGTAGTAACATCCTTCTAGCTCCAAACAGACGATATAACCTTACTTGTAACAACAGAAATATATCTTGTCTGGTACAATCCAGAGGGCTGTTGACCCTGTGTTGAAACAGAAAGGTGGGAGGACATATGAATTAATGCTCTCTTGACTCTAAGCATAGGTGTGCCAGGAACTTATGAACCTTTTTTCACATGAATTACAACATACTAAAATGATCCCTGAACAATAATATATGAGCTTGATATGATTACAGAACAGTCCATTCCATTGTACATTGATTAAAGATTATAAAATTCTGTTTAGGAAAAAGACACAATATTTTAATGAGAAAGAGGAATTCAATACAAACTCAGAGAGGGTAGTGAATGAAAATGTACAGAGCGAAGGAGGTGGAGAGGGGAGAGAGGGAGAGAGAGAGAGAGAGAGAGAGAGAGAGAGAGAGAGAGAGAGAGATAATGAAAATATACTATTCATTTTCTGTGCACTGACTATAATAATCCCTACGTACCATACTCAATTCAAAGAAGAAAAGGACAAACGAAAAACCAGAACAACAACAAACAAACACATTTTTAAAAGTCTTATTTGTCTCAATCAGAATTTCATGAAAAGAATAACGATAGATTGGGCCCATGTGATTTTTTTTTAGAATTTCCCGGAAAATTGAATTATAATCAACCAGCATTTCCCACTCAAAACATCCAACAAAAAAAAGGGTGGGTGGGGGGAATAATATACTCTTAGCAAGTGACATACCAGACAGATCAAATATTTTACATGTGCAAAGGAAATGATGAAGAGAATGTTGTGATACGTCATTACATCAGAACAGGGAAGAAGCAGTAGTCTATGACCCAAGACTCTCATCATCTCATGCCTGAAAAAAAATTGGTAATCAGCAAAAATAATGAGAGAGAAATAACTTGTGAAGAATCTATACTAAAGTAAAAAAAAAAAAAAAAAAAAAAAAACCCAGTCCAGACAGACCATCTAAAGAACAAATACAAACTGACATTCATGTAAAAGTGATCTTTTGGAATGGGAGACATTACATCCAATTGCCTATTCCACAAAGCCATGCAGAGCTACATCACAGTAGGTTTTCTTGACTTTAATGTTTTTCTCTATTTTAAAAGTTTATGTAACTGTTACTGTTTGCATGGCTTGAAAAGAGATACATAAATCGTTTTATAAAACTTTTAGATATACTGAAATCTAATAGTAAAGTATTTCTTTTCAGAGGCTCAGGATTTAGGAAGCTAAAACAAACGATGGGTATGAGGTTGTAAACTACTACTACTTTGAGTAGTGAGAAGCCGTTTGGGGCATTTCCCATCGAGTGGAATTTACATTCTCTGATGTCATAACCTGATTATCAGCAAGCACCTGTGATGTCACAACTTCCTCACTGGGAAAGTAGCCAATCAGGAAGCTTGCTTGGGCTGTTTACCGATAACACATAGCGGAAGAGAGAACAGGCGAGGGAGAGAGAGAGTGAGAGAGAGAGAGAGAGAGAGAGAGAGAGAGAGAGAGAGAGGGTGCATGTGGTAGGTTAGGTACCTTGTGCAAAGTGAGTGAGAGGAAGGTAAATGAGAGGCGATAGGTTGAGAGTCGGTAGGGGAGTTAGGGTATATATACCACCACACACCAACATGAAGAATCATTGTAACTTGAGAAAGTTTGTATCACCTTATCACAGCACCTAGATAGATTGGTTTTAGGCAAGCTGTTCTTGAGTGTGCATTAGTTCTGGATACGAGAATTGTACATTTGCTCAAACACCATCTGTCTACCAAGAAAAAACTTGAGAACGCTTCACCACACAAAAGGTTGATGAACCGAAAAGAAGACAATCCTATCATCAAGAAGTGTCTAGTATAACAGGAGATAAACATTTGTCATTAGCAGACTCAAGTTCTACAAGCAGACACTTAACTTGTGGTATTCAGGGCCCCATCTTTCTTATTCTTCATTTTCTTCTGAGGAGTTTGTCAGTCTCCATAGCAACCATGCAGCTAAGACAAGCATCATCGTCATCACTCCTGCTCTGTGCACTGGTGCTGATTGTCACCAAGATGACGGATGCCTGCTCCTGTATGCCTGCTCACTATCAAACACTATTCTGCAGAGCTGATGCTGGTAAGTTGAACCTCTGACAATCCCAATGTTACAATCATTAAGCCTCAAAGTTAAATATAATCTGAAAACTGCCTGTGGACATTAAAACTATTGTCAATGCTGAAGCTTAGATTTCTTTATACAAAATAGATATGGAGGGGGGGGGGGGTTGCACAGCTGCAAAGTATATCCAAATTCATAAGGAGGAATAGCAATATTAGCAGCAGCAGGAGAAGTAGTAGAAGTCATAATACTAGTAATAGTAGTAGGGGTAGGAGGAATCATAGTAGTAGTAATTGTAGTAGTAGTAGTAGTAGTAGTAGTAGTAGTAGTAGTAGTAGTATAGTAGTAGGAGTAGCAGGAGGAGTAGCAGTAGCAGTTGCAGTAGTAGTAGTAGTAGTAGTAGTAGTAGTAGTAGTAGTAGAAGTAGTAGTAGAAGTAGTAGAAGTAGAAGTAGTAGTAGTAGTAGTAGTAGCAGTAGTCCTTGTTGTCGTTGTCATCGTCCTCGAAGAAGATGCAGTAGAAGATGGAGTAGAAGTAGAAGTAGTAGTAGCAGTAGTAGCTGAGGTAGATGTAGTAGTAGTTTTTTAAGGGTCCAAAATATGTATAAATTTATGTAGAGGTAAAGCCATATTAAGACCACTCTGCTATAATAAATAATAATAATAATAATAATAGTACATTTATAAAGCGCAGAAACTATCCAACATTAGGTATATATTCTACTGCGCTACAAGAGCTCCTGATATGCTTAGATTTACGGTACAGTTAATTAAAAAGAAGTGTTTTCAGTTTTGACTTGATTCATGCAAGGGATATCACCTAGAGTGCTATGCTGGCATGAACATCATCACCATTTGGTTACCACAAATGAGCCATCTTCCTAAGTTTGAAACTTTTGCTGCAAAGTTTGGATCTCTAGAGAGTTACTTGTTGGCAATGGATATAGGTTAAATCAATGTTCTTTCTTGTTTAATATTATGAAAAGTCTGTTACCAAGGTTGGCTCGTGAAGGAACAGGCTGTCAAATCTATGCCAAAAAAGCTTTCCCACTTACAATATTTTTCATCAAAATGCATGCACACCAATTTCCTCCATCTTGGTATGTATGTATTTTTTTAAACAAAAAATGTGAGAACATATGTTTTGTATTGAATGTACATGTAGTGTGGTTATGAGCCAAATTTTAAGAGCCTACATATTTGTTAATACATACATGATTCATCTTAATTGGACTATCTCCAACTGTTACAAGGTCCTTGGTGTATCAATAACACATTTACCAGTATGTCAGTGCCAGAAGGAAGTTAACTCATTCTCTGTATTAAACCTATGGGGAATATGAGTATTCAGTTGTTAGTGGGTTAATACCTTTCAGACTCTCATGTAATGATATGCTCTAGCTACAATGATGCCAACTTCTAACTCTACTAAAATTTCTAACTTTCACCCAGAACCAATTCACCAACCCTAACCACACCCTAACCACACCCTAAAACCTAATCACAACCCAACCCTAACCCTGAATCTTCAACATAATTAAGACCAAAGCAAATTTCCCCCAAAACAAAAACAAATCTTTCATAATCTCTGCTAGAATGGGTTGTAGTTGGATATACCTCTGCCCAGTGTGTAGTGTATGAAAACCTAGCATCTCAAACTATTTTCCACAATTCTTCTTAAATTCTTCATTTTAGTTATCGAGGGAACGATCAAGAGCACATCGTTCATCTATGGCGACAACGCGGTCTCCAACAACGATGTCTATGGCTCTTCAATGGACTACAGCTACGCGGATCTCCTTCCTCCACTGGTTCTCCCTCGGTACCCTCTCTTCGTCGTCTACAACGTGACTATCAAGGAGGTCTTCAAGGGGGAGGAGGAGTTGGTCGGCATGACGACCGTATCCGTGTCTAGCGCAGCAAACGGAGCAATGTGCGGAGTAGCCGATCTCCAAGATGGAGAGGCCTACATTTTGAGTGGTGAGAGCTAATAAATAATATGCATTTCATGAAAAAGGGTTGAAATGTAATGAGGGGTGGGAGGGAGAAGATGGAAATATGAGAAAATCGAGACATATCTTCTCCTGTTCTTGAATGTGCCTTTACACTCCCAAACAATTGAACTCTCCATGACCATGCCTTTTTAAGGCAACACAAATTTTGAACCTCATTCCTGGCAGCAGCTCCCATGTTTTTACCTTTAATATCATGCTGATGATACTCTCTAAGGTGAAGGCTATATCTATGATAATAGGGCAACGGATGTGGCTTCTTAATTAAGACCCATTATTAAAAATAAGAAATAAAAATGCTGAAAATGAATAAAAATGCTAAAAACAAATAAAACTTTGTTATATCATATCAAACTGCAATTTGTGGTAGTAAAGGGACTAGGGTATGATTCCCTTCAAAAATTTGATGGAGTGGGATCAGATTACTCAACAATACATCAACCGCAATGTTCCTTCACCTTTTACGCAAAGGAAACAACTAGTCTATTTCTGTTCGATACAAAACCTTAGCGACCCTACCATCCCATGATTCCCCCTCTGTCGGGAGCCTGTAACACCCCCTCACTGTCTACCCCCTCACTGTCTACCCCCTACTCCCACCAGCCCACAGAGATATGACATTTCAAGTTGATCCATTCATGTGATCAACACCTAACCAATTAGAAATGCTCGGCTGATATCGTAATTAAAAAAAGAAGAAATCAACACTGCGTAAATCAGATTTTGTTAGACGTCTCGGTCATGGTACCTTGGGCGCGGTCGCTACCATTATGAAACGAGGGAGGTCAACTTCTTACGAGCTGAGACGATGCGGGGTAGTTATTTTTCATTCAATTCAACATGATGCATGATATATTGGGGTGCCTCAAATAGCAAGTCATTTGTTGAATACAAATGAAGAAGATGCGGGTAACTCGAGTACATCGAAACATGGAAAGATATTTTAAAAATTCATGGGATATGTTGGACTCATGGGGACCATTAAACATCTCATGCATTTTACAAAGAGCAAATCAGACAATAGGGAAAAGGGATGATGTAGTTTGTGGTTCTGTACCTCAATTATGAGTGCTGCATTCTACCACAACGAACAAAAATACAATTTCAATCGAGATGATTATAAAGTGGGATTCAATCAAATTAGATGCGCAAAGCCAGTCTTCCTGAAATGTAAAAGATTAAATCAGAGAATCTGAAATGTCAAGATGGATAATAAGAAACAGAATTAGAACATTTCTATCTCACAAGAGACAGTTAATAATGCCTACTAGTCAACTGGATTGCACAATAATAAATGCACACTAAAGGTTAACTTTGATGAAGAACTTCCCTGATATTGAAAGTGTTAGTATAACATTGATTTCACAAGATCAATACTTAAATGGGTTGAATTACAGACTGGTAAACCATTAACAAGATAAAGTTGCCAGAGAGACATGATTTATAACAATTCAACCCCAGTAGTAAAGTCCCTTCTTATCCCTCCCAAAATTTCATGTTTAGAGCGAGAATGCTTTCAACTTTAAAAATCTAACAGAGTTAACACCATCTGGCTCCAAACAGACAATTTAATGATTCACTTTTATACACTCATGCAGCAATCAAACAAAATATCAAAACATTACCAATTTTCCTGGTGGACAATAAACTGAACCTTTAAGAAAGAGTGAACTTATTTACCAGTCATGGTCATTCACTCAGCAGGCTAAGAAGTGAAATTAACTTCTATTTTCACCCAAACCCAGTGGAGCTAGTAATAAGTCAATTGCAGCCGGGAGTTGAGATATTTTGAGGATTATTATTTTCTCTCTCTTTTGCGCTGCATGCAGCCACTTCATCATGAGGTTGTTTTCCATCGAGCACCTCGGCAGACAGTGAAGCGTAGCACATCAATATTAAGAGTTGTCAGAATTGCTTATTAATATCCGTTTTGATCTCCATACACCCCAAGCATCATGAGAATATGATGAAGGCAATTTAGAAAGACTGTATTCTAAATGGGCAAGGGGACATTGTAGTTAATAATGTAATGGTATGAGATTGCCATGTCTGAATAATGTAACAGTTGGAATGAACATATAAATTGAAATAAGATAAAACAGTGGCATTTTCCCTTTATTGGCAAGAGTCTCAAGTCTGATTCTGAAGGGAATTCAATTTGATGATAACTACTATCAAAAACTGAATCAATTGGAAAAAATAAAGCTTTATAAAAGTATTTTAAAATGTTGGTGATCTGTAAACATGCATCATAAAAAATAAACAATATATTTACACAAGCTAGTAGATAATGAGTATAGAATTACATTTGGACTGATAAAGCGCATTTTCCTGAGGACAAACAGCGCTGAATACTATTATTACCCTAGCTTCAGCTCAGCTTCAATAATATGCTAAAGTATTCCACAAAATTCTTCCTTCTAGGGTAACTATTACTTTACCCGGATGGGAAGTAGCAATTTTAGATTAACGTCTTGCCAAAGCATGTTTGTGATATAGCAAGGATTTAAACTTCATACTATGTGATCCACAGCCCAGTGACTTATCCACTAAATCATGATAACTCAAGCTAATTGAAAGTATACAGGGTGCAGTAAGAGCTATATGATTGTTCCTCTTATTATTTCAACCATTTTGTCAGAGCAAATACTAATTATCATCTCTTTTTTTTTAATGTTCTAGGTTTTGTATGGGATGGAGAACTTAATGTTGGTCTGTGCAGCAGTTGGGTCCAACCAGTCAACTCACTCTCAGTATTCCAGAAGAGAGGACTTAAGCGTCTCTACGCAAAGTCATGCGACGACTGTCGGGTAAGACATTGAAACATTATAACCTTAATAATTCAGTCAAACCACGAAACCAACACTGAAACAATTGATAACTTGTATTGGTTATTTGAGCTCATGTAATTAATTGTTTGATCTTTGTCGGTCTTGCAGGTGTTATTGGGGTATATCTTAATGATCATCGATACACAAGCTTTACAGAAATTAAAGGCTGTCTCTATATGATACCCCCACCCCCACAAAAACAAAAATAAAACACTAACAGTTTTGAACAGGTTGTCTTTATGAACAGGTGAATTCTTAAGCTTATATATTATCCATATAAGACTTCATTAGGAAGCGTAGTTTAATGTTGTACGAGTTACATTGTGAGCAGTCTGGAGTACTTTCCTAGCCATCATTTTTGCTTTTTTGCGATCTTAAAATTCAGGAAAATGGAAAAATTTCTAAAGACATAAATAACTCTGTTTTCATCTCAGACTGTTTGGTAAGTTTCAACACTATGCCCACAGCCAGTTTCAATACTTCTACCAGAAACTAATATACTACTTCTACATTAATTATGTGCAAACTAGACTTTGGAGTAATTTCCACAAGTGCTACCCACAAGTGCTGCATAAGTCTTAATAACAAATATTTAAAAAATATTAATTCATGTTTAATGATGATGATAACAAAACTATAATATCACTATCTCTTCTTCATTCTCTCTCTCTCTCTCTCTGACTCCACAGATTTGTTCTGCAAAGTATGACAATGACTGCCTGCCCACGGAGGGGTGCATGGGGTCTTACGCATCGCCTTGCGTCAGAAGGAACTCTGCATGCATCCGCAACAACAAGGGACGCTGCTCCTGGAAAAATAGCAAGTACCTGAGGCTTTGCTGAGCATCTCGTCATCACCAGATAGACCCATTCATCCTTTTTAAAACATTATTCTTAGACCCCATTCAGACGACAAGAAAGTTATACCAAATTTGTATGAAGTATAAAACATTGTATAGCGAAAGAGACACACACACACATGATAAGAGTTTCATACAAAGAATTGTTGTATAAAGAATCTAGATTTGAAAATATTGTATGTTTATAGTCAGCTCAGATGACAGTCGGCCAATCATCGTTTCACACTCATAATAACCCTCAGCTAGTTCTACTGTTTTCTTTCCATGTGACGTTGAAATTATAAAGGTAATCTGGTTTTTGGTTGGATTTTCATTAAACATCTGTTTCGCTATACAATGTTTTATCATACAATGTTGTATTATATGATGTCTGAACTATAAAAAACTATTTATTGTATAGCTCGATATATAACTCTTTGTTATCTGAATGGAGGGTTACAGTCTTGATATCATCACTGATCATCCTGATAGAAATTATTGCTTGAGTGTAATGTCCAAGGTCGGGAGGTTGACAGATGGCAATTTAGTCTCTTTTTCATTTTAATTGGACCAGGGCATGTGAGTTAAAGTCTCACCTCCCTGATTGGACCTTACATTCACTGACACCAACGCAGCTATGAGCGATTAATGAGAAAACTTGTTTGAGGAGTTTTTGGCTTCATGTAATGCATGACTGACCTAGCGTGAGGGTTATGGAGAGGACAAGGAGGGTTGTTGAATTCAGAATAAATGGGAAGGGTAATCGGGTGATGTTCAACAGAAATTTATTCTACTTTTCTACAAATTCAAGCTCATTTCTTTATTTGCCTATGACAGAGCATTTATGAAATTCTTCACAAAAAGTTAGGAATAAAACTTATTCATCCAAAACTGCTTTCAAGGTTTGATGGGACCCATTGGCTGTGGATTAAGCTACAATCACAGGGCTATATGTCTTCCTTATTACTTTGCTCAGCTAAGAAATATATATTTCTTGTTGTTCTTCCATTTTTGTCTTCCTGTCCTGAGTGAATCTACTATTGCTATGGCCTTATGTATGTCTTTATTTTCTAAACTTTTCATCCCATGAACTTGTCACACTATGATGTTGATAGTTACAGTACTATTTTGTGAATATGGTAGTTTACCTATCTTTGTATAATGAGAGTATTATGACGATATCTTTTTCTTGTGAAGCTAAGTTTCAAATGTACCTTTTTGGTAAATGTGAGAGTGCAATAGTATTTGAACATGTATCAAGCCTTTGTATGTCTTTTGAATAAAATCATTAAAGTTATGGTAAGATTTTGCATGTCGTGAAGAAATTGAATATATATTACAATTATGAAAATCTATAGTATTATTAATGTTGGTAATGAAAGAACAAAGAGACTTGCATTACATCCACTGTATTCAAGCTTCAAAATCATAACAAATTATAAACAAGGTCCTTTTCTAAAAGGGGTCTATATGTAGAAAATTGGGTAAGATTGCACTTTTGAGGGTATGAATGCTAGTACAAGCTAAGCCAAATCGTAAAAAGCTAACACACTATTGAAGAGTTCCTTACTTTTCTTTGGAAGTTCAAGTTGATTAAGATTATAACCAACAATTTTTGAAGCATTCTATCATTTTGTCTTAAAATTTCATCTACTATTCCTTCCATATGTAATGCACATTCCTGTAAAAGTATTTTGTTTTATCATGTACATATAGTTTGGGGCAGGGAGATTTACTTCTTTTTGTATAAATGTATGAATATTGTTATCTTTTAGTGTATAAAAGTATTCAAATATTTATTCCCTGAATATGAAAAGTGTTTTATGTCAAATGTTATGAAGCCATTCATGTACTTGAGTACTTAGATGTTTAGAAAAATAAAAATGATGTTCCTTTAATACAAAACTGCATTATTAAATTCCATTATTTTAAGTTCTATGAATACTGTATAAGAGGGATAATTGTGATAATAGAACAACAATAATGATGGTGATTATGATGGCAATGAAAGTGGTAATGATGGTGGTGGTGATGATGATGATGATGATGATGATGATGATGATAATGGAAGTGGTAGTAATGAGGATGACGATAACACTGTGGTTGTAAAGGAGACGATGGTGAAAAAGCTGAGTTGAATATTGATCATGATAACGATAATGGTAATGACAGTGATGATTATGGTGGCAGTGACAGTGATGAAGATAATATAATAATGATGGTGGTCATAATGATGGTGGTCATATGATGGTGGTGATGAGTTCGTTCCAAAGTTTTAGTAACATGACTAGATGATTATGAGAACTTAAGTAACCATAGTGATGATACAAAATATAATATGAAAACAGAGACATACTGATGATTCATGGTTACATTAGTGGTTGAGGTAAGGAATTAACTCTTTTGACAAGTATAGAGGTATAGTTAAGTAGAAACTTAGTACCATTTTTGCTTTCAGCAGACAATAAGAGATGATGGAGACAAAGATAATGATGATGATGATGATGATGATGATGATGATGATGATGATGATCAGGATTACCGTGGGGATTACATTCACGGAGATGGCATGTAGAGTATCATAATAAATCAACACCATAACACAGGAAAAGGAAGAAAGGTTAGTGTTTCTGAAAATGCTTATCAATCCTAACTACATCTCAACAAGAGGTGGCACTCTTCATATTTGTCATATCTGCAAAACCAAGTGCGCCACAGTTGGCAACGGGTAAACGCTCTCTCTCTCTCTCTCTCTCTCTCTCTCTCTCTCTCTCTCCCCCATACACACTCCTTCTTTCCTTCCCTATTTTCTCTCATTCTATCTAGATGAGAGTGAGGGCTTGAAAAATGGTGAAGAGTAATAAAGATAAACATTTTTCTTTTCCTTTCATTTCTTTTCTCATTTCCTCCCACCTTAAAAGTTGTTCCAAAAGAGAAACCTCCTCTCAATTTTTTCTCTAGTTCTTCTTTAAATCAGTAACTGTTGCCAAGACCTGACATACAGAATAAGAAATCTAAAGTTCACTAAATGAAATCATTTAATACGTTGGCAAACACCAATAAATGTGGGAGACAACTATTTATAACCACAAAAAAGGTTATTGTATCAATTGAATCACAGTACCAGACACCAACGTCAGAAGGAAACCATATTCATTATTGAAGTCAGAATTTTAAAAAAATTGAAAAATCCATATTGCATAGCTGATGTCTGGATGATAATGGATTTTCTGTCAAAACCACAAATATTTAGTCGAGGTATTTTCATCTTCAAGGCAAAATTAAACCTCAAAACATATCAAATAAAACAATAATCATTACATATAACAGAAAACTGCAATAATAAATATATTTGTGATTCTTATATGGTACAGCTAAAAATTGATTACCGGTATTGATTTATGGTTGCGAGGAGATTTAATTTTTTTTCTACATCATTTCTTCTGTGTAACAATTTTTGGTGAGTTTAAGAGTATGTTTGAAATAATTTTCTATGGAAACACGTCGGCACATGAAAGTTCAATATATATATAATTTACACATATTACAAGTACTGGAAGGAGGGGGTGAGGGTGGGAATTAGTTATCTCAATAAGGTACAGGTATAAACAACTCAATTGAACTGAATGCGTCATGCTGCCCTCTTTGGACAATGTCCAATGATATTGTGTCCATACAGAGTTCCTACCCACCTATCTCTCTCTCTCTCTCTCTCTCTCTCCCCCCCAGATTTATTAAATTTGTTTGTCCAACCTCTCTAGATTTCATGTTTTGGTGTTTCTTCAGAAATCCTAAAATATCATTATTTTTTCGCGCTTTTCTTCCCTTTTTCTTCTCTCTTTCCCTCCTACCTCTTCATCATCAATATGCACTTTTCACGTACGTGGTTGAACCCATTTTCTTCTACACCCAAATTATGTGTCTCACATACTTTTTTCTGTCTTTCTCTCCCTCCCTACTCCCCCCCCTCTCTCTCTCTCTCTCTCTCTCTCTCTGCCTCCTGCCCCTTTCCTCCTGCCCCTCCTCTCCCTTCTCCCCTCCTCTCTTTCTCTCTCTCTTTCTCTCTTGCTCTTATTTCAATATTGCACCTTGAAAACATTGGGTTTAGAAAGAAAATCATTTGCCCCTCCTTCAAAAGTATATAATAATGAGATCGAAATTGCTATCAAAAATGGTAAAGAATGAGAAATATAGTTGAGGATGAACTGTTTCTATACAACGTTGGATTCTGGTAAGTTAGTAACTTAATACTCTTTGGCTCAGTCTCTAAAGAGTAAAAAAAAAAAAAAAAAATGAGGGGGCAGGGGGAAGTATGGTAGTGTTGAAGTAAAGGAAAATTGGGTCATTATTGAAAGGTTAAAATCGCCCAGTTCTGGCACGCTGCAGAGTGACAATACACAAACATGCAGGATGCATTGGATGCCTGGCCTGGTAGGAGATGAGGGGTACAACCGTCTCGGATCCCATCCTTTCTCCAGCAATGTTCACACAGTATGGTCATATTTTTAAACTTTAAATTGGCAGTATCTTAAACTTATAGACAAAGATTCACTAACAACAACAAGGGTTCAACTGGAAATCGCTGGAGAGGAAATTAAAGACATTGATATTACCACTTTTGTTGGGGTTAGCATTAATAGACATTTCACACAGGACTGAAACAACAAGTATTTAAAGTTTTAAAACACAAACCGGAGGGGGGGGGGGGGAGCATTCATTTTAACTACAGGCTGGCGTAATCTAAAAGTTAATTGCGTCTACACATCACATAACATTGAGTTAGGACCTCCATTGCTTGTAGTCATCGCAATAACCCTGAGATCGCTGGTGGTTTGTAACTTAGAGTAAACTTGAAATTTTGTAATGGGTGCATCCATCCGCACGGTCCCTAACTACAAGATAATTTTGAAGTTTAAAACCACAATCTAAACTTAAAGTTAATGGACTGTCGTATGAACCTAACTTCCCTCCCCTTTCCCTCTTCCTCTGCCTGGAGGTGTGTTATCCTTGGCCCTACTCCCTTCCTCTCATGCTCATTGCATCTTTCCAGGTAGCTAGCTAGCTATCCCCATTACAATGACTGACAGACAGTCAGCTCAAGGATCTGTTCACACTCACCCTCATAATACAATGGGAAGGTTTCCAAAATGGAAATCTTTTAAATGTAACATAATTTAGGAAAATGGGTTCTGCAAAGTATTGCTTTAATAAGTATTTCCGTCTGTTCGGAGCCAAAGAGTGCTCCCTCAAGTGCTTTATCACAGAGTTAACGCACTTCTGGCTAAAAAAAAATGATATCCAGGATCGGTGTAGGCTCTTCATTGACTTTCATATAAGAGATCCTGTGGGTTCGATCCTAGCTCAGTGTTTACATCCTAGACCAAGGTGTTTTAGCAACTTTGCCTCTCTCGACCTAGGTGTATCAAATGGGTACCTGACAATGCTATTAAGGTCATAATTGTAGGGCCCTTAGCAATAGCAGTATTAATACTGATCAGGCTACCCTGGATAGGTAAGACCACACTATTAGTTTTCTTAGGCTCTATGACAGGACATTCAAAAACTT